TGCACACAGTTTTGGGGTTAAGCACGGTTGTGATCACTACTGACCAAGGTCTGAGCTCCTCTGTTCTGTGTCTTTTTTGGGGTGTAGAAATAGAAATTTATCAGCCCCGTATTCTTGGTCCTACCCTTGGCTAGAAAACACACTTGGAGCCAAAAGCTACCAGCCTGATGAGAATCCTTGAAAAGAATAAAAGATTGTTGACACATGCTTTGAATAGATGGCGCTGAACAGTACAGCTTGTTAAACAGAAACAAGTTAGCAAATATTTACTTGTTAGTTACCATAGCACATAAGTTAAATCTTTTTGCTTATTCTACATTATCATCATAAGGTTGAATTTCTGTTTAATTCTGTTTACTAAGAAAAGCAAAGAGGTTTCTTCTGAGAAAGGATTATTGTAATAGTTCCAAGGACTGTTGACTCGTAACCTTGAAGAAATTAATGTTTGTTATAGAAATCTACATGATAGAATGTTTGCTGCAGAGAACTATTTGTTCACTTAAGGTTATAAGCTGTATTTATCATAATGGAGGTAGATTTCACTCACCAACCTTGTGATAATTAGTCCACTAACCATGACCTCACTAATCTTGGTCTAATTAATTCAACCAGTACAAAAGAACTGTACAGAGTCTGTTAAAGCCAAGAACATGTACATTGTTTTGCAGATAAAAACAAAAGAACCTAGCACACACAAACCATAAAACATAATGAGCACTTTAATTAGCACCTTAAATAGAGGATACCAATTTTGGACACTGTCAGTTTTTCTCCTACTGCATGTCCTTGACATGGTGTAGGTCAAGCCTTGGTCTTAGGTTCTTTTGTCTTTTAACTTTATAGTCTCTCCGTAGACATAGCAACCACTAGTGTGAAGATAGATATTTTGAACGTATGAATCTCCAAATTCCCAACCCAGACCTCTCTTCTGAATTCCAGATACATCTTTCTAGCTACCTATTCACCACTTCCACTAGGCATCTAAGTTCAAAGAAATTGGGAGGCATCTATAATTTAAGTCACGATCCTCCCTTTATCACCACCACCATCTAAGATACCTGGGTCTCTTCCAGAGTTTCTTCTATCAAATGCTATCCAATTAGGACCAATGCAGACCCCTGCAAGTTATCCTTGATACCACCCACCACCTCATGCCCACATCTAGCTCATTACCAAGACCTGACAATTCTATATGCTCTATCTTTCTCAAATCCATCTGCTATTTTCATATCTACAGCCACCACCATGGATAGATTATATCCTTTTTTCCCAAATTACTGCAAAAGTATCTTAATAGATTTCACTCTAATCCACTATCACTGTGTCAAAGTGTAATCACGTCATATGCTTATAACCCTCCCAGGGCTTCCCAAGGCTTTTACAATAAAGCACAAAAAACAAAACACGGCTCTCCGTCCTTGCCTGTCCTGGCCCTGCCAGCCCCTCTGTATCATTTCCCCTCTTGTCCTCTCTCTACATTTCAGCCATTGTGCATGGATTTGGTTCTCACCTCCTATGCATGTCTCTCCCTCAAGGAAGGTGTCTCATACCAGATCAGGTGTCCGACACTCTCACTGCTCCTTCTGCTTGTAACTCTGTTCAGGTGCCATAGGAAAGCAAGAACCTGTCTATCCTGTTCTCAGGTTAATCTCTCAGGGGAGTGGCCCAGTGTAGAAACTTGTTAAGTATCTGTTGAATAAATGGATGGAGAAGGAAAGTAGCATCTTGGTGGAAAGGTTTAAACTGAGCAAATTCCAGCTTTCAGGCAGGAGGTTGAGTCTTTCCTGAAATAAACATGCCCACCTATACTGCCTCTCTGGGTGAGATGAGAAAGAATAGGGCAAAGTTTACCTGATGCCGTGGGCGTCTTCAGAAACTCCTGTGCACTGTGAGACTGCCTAAAGCTTTCAGACACAGTGGAAGGATGGGAGTCTCTGCTTATAAGGCTTTAGAAATAAACATTTTAAAAAGGATTATTTGGGGGAAAGATTCTGGATGTCTACTTTTTAGATAAAAAAATTGATACCCAGAGCCCAGTGTCACAAGATGGGATATGCTTTCTCCATAGACCACACAATTGTATTCACCTTCTTATTCTTTCCCCAAATGTGGAATAGAAAAGACTCCAGGCACAGGTAGAGACTTCCAATCCCAAAGTCCAGTACAGGCTACCACGCAGCTTGGCCGGGGAAAGGAACCCTGGGTTAACCATCAGGGAAACCTAGCAACTGCTCAGGTGACCTTGGAAACCCTATCTCATCTCTTGGGGCCTCAGTTTCTTCATCTGGAAAATGGTGCAAATACAGCAATGCTGGGAAATTAGTATGGCCCACAGATTCAAGAGAATATGTATTTAGAAACTACTTAAGTTCCACAAAGGGTTGATATTGCAAAGCAAGTAAATTTGCCTAAATCAGAATAGCCCAGAAAGAGAAAGGACTGCCCTATACATGGTAGATAAGAGAAAATTCCAGGGATCCAGAGTGCTTGGTTCTGACCACAGCAAGACCACTGTGTGGCTCTGGACAAGTCACTGCCTCAGTTTCCTCGTGTGTAACATGGGGGAAGCAAAAGTACCAGCCACATGGGATTGTTGGGAAAGATGAGTTAATAATACTAAAGCATTTAGAAACGTTCTGGTTCATGATAAATGTTAGTTATTACATATTGTTATTGAACTTCCAAATCCCAGAGGTGCCCAGGCATAGATTTAATCACCACAGTCAGGAGCACAGTGAAAAGGATCTTGCCATGGGTGGGGAGTTGGATTCGAAGGTCCCTTTCAATGCTAAAGTTCAAGACATCAACAAAAATCAGAAAAAAGATTTATTGTTGTTTCTCCTTCCCCACCAGGTACTTTTTCTTATCTCTACAAGGGACATATGGGGAGTCCCTGATCGCAAAAGCTCAGAAAATTGACAAACTCCCCAAGGACAAAAGAGACCTGAAAATCCAGAGTTGGAGAAGCAAACAAATGCCGGTCCCTGGAGAGGCTCAGCGCACCCACCGTCCAGTGCCACCTGTCCCTGAACAGGACTTCAGAGCCAGCACCCCAAAGAGCTCCCGCCCTCCCAAGCAGAAGTGCACAGAGAACCGGGGGGTGCACGGAGAGAGAAGCAGCAGAGACCACAGGAGGGACAACCCAAGCTCAGCAGACTCCTCAGCTAAACTCTCATCCAAAGATCACCTCCTTCTGGGGCCCAATAGCAGGATGGCGTCCGGGGCCTACCCCAGCGGGCAGACTGATGAATACCAGCGCTCGCGCAGGGGCAGCCATCGCCGATCCCAGAGTTCACTGACCATCTGAGGGGCCTGCAGAAATCTGTACAAACTTAGGTGAGGCCGCCCAATCGCCGGCCTAATTAACCCAAGACTCTCCCTCTCCATGGAGGAAAGAATGAGTCAGTCTTACTCTTTTCTCCCCGCCAGGCTTGACTTCCTTAGAGGAAGTACTGGCCCTCAGGGCGTTGACCAAAAAAGGCTGGAAACCACTCAACCTCCAGTTTTCTCCTGCTGCCAGGCAGCATATCTTGCAAACAGAGTTTCATAAAGAGGCTGTGTTTCTATGGCATTGACTCCTCAGAGACATTCTTCTGATCCTCTAGATAAGTACAGCCTACAACCCAATACATGCATTTCCAAGATTCCAGGAAATGTATAAACCCAGGCAATCCCTCCGGCTGTGGAAGTTTCTAGTCTTGCCACACCATCACTTCACGCACGGGTGCCAGAGTTTAAATTTCAGAAGAGACCCAGACATGCAGGTGCTTCATCTTGATTGTATTGCAGAGATGGCCACATGGGGGTTAACATCCCTTTCACTCACAAAGAGTAAGGATGCTGTTTGTCTCTAAGTCAAATAAAACTACATCTAAATATTAAAACTAGACTTGAACTCAGTGCCACTGATACTTCAGAGGGTTGTGGGGCCACAGCTGGTGTAAGAGGAAGGAAGAACAGAAGCATTCTAAGAGAAATGGGTATACCAGAAGCCCCATGCTTTAGCTGACAGACCACATGTCCCACAGCCTGGGGAACCTACTTTTTTAAAAAGCTATTTATTTTATTTGTTTTTATATTAAAGGACCTACTCTCATTCAGCTCTCAGAACAGGAAAACTCTAAGATGAACAGATCTTAGCAAGCCTGCCCACAGAATAGACCCATATGATGCAAGCAACTCTGAGTCCAAACAATGACATCTTCAAGGGCCAATGTTAAATCCTGTTCATTAAGCGTAACCCAGAGAGGAGTGCCGCCTGGAGGACACTGGCACATGCTTCCATTAAATTCGGGAGAGTCATAGGAAGTCTCACTTCACAGGGAAAAGAAGGATTACAGAGGCGTCTTACCCCTAGAGATAGTAAATACCAAAAATATAAGAGCTCAAAAACACTGTTGAAGTAAAAGAATGGATGATAGAATTCTAATAGGCTGTCAGGAGAAGTTATGTCTACTATGCGCAAGGATAGCCTGTCCCTAGTCTTCTAAGATAAGTCAGGGAGGGCTACTAAGCCTTTTATGCTTAAGGCAGTGCCTATATATTAAGCAAAATCCTTATAGGTTAGGAATGAATGCAACAAGTCTTTGAGCCTAGGAGTCATAGCCACCTCAGTTGAGTAACTTTTCACAACAAAGCCCCCAAAAGATCTCCAGTTGGCAAATGGCAGACTGAGTTGGTCCTCTGACCACCCTGCTGACAAACCTGAACTGGAGAAGCCATTTGGAGCACCTTCCTGGAGCCAAAATACTAGGTCTCATTCACTGACTCTGCCACATAACGACACGGGCACTGGCCAGCTGGTAGGTATTCAGGGGAATTCTACAAGAGGATTGCTAAAGGGGAAACACAGCTGGCAAAGCAGTAATGACTTTGTCCCAAATAAGAGGACTAAGCCAAAACTCAGATTTCAGGGTCCCTTTCTCTGTAGGATTCCTGCCCAGTCCTGAAAGCCAGATGAGAAAGAATGCTTCAGAAAAGAACAAAGGCGGGAAGACCACTAGCCTCAGGAGATCTGAGGCATAGATCTTTGTTCTCTAGAGCCAGGAACCTTGAAGCAGGATGCCACACCTACAAATTAGGGTAGAACTGCCCTACCTCCCAGGCTTGGCATAGGAACAAGTCAAAGTTACATAGGAGGTGAGGGAGAGAAAACCCTTTGAAAGCTGTTAACACCCTCAATAATAACACAGGGATATTTATTTCAGAGCTTAAAGGAAAAGAGGTGATGGAGAAGTTGAGGAAATGTCTGATCCTGACACTAAATGCCAAACCATACCCATCACTGTGATGCTGCTCTCTTTCTTGCATGACCAACCAGCCCAGTTAGCCTGGGATTTTCCCAGTTTTAGCACTGAAAGCCCCACATCCTGGGAAACTCCTCAGTCCTGGGCCAACTGGTCACCTACTCCTGCCCTTCTTTGTAAACCAAATCAACTGTGACTATCCAACATGCCACCTTAGGGGGAAAAGTTATAACAACTATTTCCCGACAACATAATCCTAATGATTGTACTTAATACATTTTTATACTTTTATGACCTTTTACTGATTGGCTGGAAATGTGCTGTCCTTTATTAGCAGAAAAAAAATAAACACGATTTTTCAGAATTTCTTGCAGTTCTGAGTCCTCTCTCATCTATCCATCCTTCTTTGCATTCACTCATCTGTTCATTCATTTATCCACCCATCCACTCACTTATCTACCCGATAAACTTCTATTAAGCCCCTGCTAGATGCCTGTGATGTGCTGGGAGCTGCAAGGAACTCATCCCTGACTTAAAGAAGCTCATAGCCTTGTTGGGCATAGAGTGTCAAAACAGATTTGATCCAATGTAAGAGTGTGACACAAACCAAACCGGGTACAAGCATTAGAAGCATCACACACAGTCCCCCGTCTCTGAAACTCTACCCTAGCTACTCCCCTCTCCTGGAAGCCTGCGCCAACCTCAAACCCAGGTTGATTAGGTGCCCTGTCTCATTCATTCATTCAGCAGATATCACACAGTGCCTGCCACCCACAGCATTGTGGCAGGCAGCAAGCATAAAAGACAGGACAAAGAGAGGTTCAGCTCCTGACCTCCAGGGATTTACAGTCTAGAAGGGGCGACAGGGAGGAGGGGAAGAGGTAGTTCCCATGGCAATCAGAGAAGGCTGCTCCAAGAAGGAGAGGTTCCAGCTGCCACCTTAACCATGAGAGAATTAAGTATGAAAGCCCTAAAAAAGGAACACAGTTTGCTGGATTCAAAAAGTTGAGAGAGAAAAGAGGTCAGTGTGACTAGAACCCAGTGAGCAGGAGGAAATGCCCCATAACAATGTTAGTAATCGCAACTGTATTAGATTACTGCGGGCTAGGCACCGATCTAAGCACACATCACCACAGAACCTCACAGCCACCCGGCAAGTAAGTACCATTATTCTCCCCTATTTCATTTAGTGTTGGTGACATAATGAACCACCCCCAAGATTTAGTAGATTAACACAATTATTCATGTGCTCACGATGCTGTACCTGGGCAATTTGGGTTAGGACCTCCCTCCACAAGGTCTCCATCCTCAAAGACATCAGCCAGCCTTGTCACATGGCAGCAATGTTCTGGGAGTAAGAACAGAAGCTGCAAAGTCTCTTGACACTGAGGCTCAGAACTCACACATCATCTTTCCCACCACATTCTCTCAAAACAAGCCGCAAGGTCAGACCAGTTACAGAAGGGTGGGAAAATATACCCCACCTTTAGTGGGAGGAGTTACAAAGAAATTTGAGGCCATTTGTAATCTACCACATCCCATTTACAGAAGGAGAAACTGAGGCAGAGATTACATGAATTTAGCACAGTAACACCATTATCAAGTGGGGAGGCAGCATTTTAACCCCAGAAGTCTGAAACCAGAGCCTATACTCTTAGCCACTGAGCTACACAAAGGTGAGACAGGCACCAGACACCAGAGGGGCTTGTCTTCTCGACATTCCTTTGAGAGACAAGGTAAGCACAGTGCTTAGCTAGCCTGAACTCCATCCCAACTCTGTCACAGGCTGGCACGGTGACCTAGCCCACACTGTTCAGCTGGGTTGTTCACCCAGACAACAGCTTCAGAAAGTAAGGAAGACAGCAGCCTCAGGAGAACCAGAATGCCACTATCTCCCATGAGCTGATCACCTGCCCAGAACTTTCCATTCTGCACACAGAGCCCGAGGAGAAATCAATCCCATGGAAGTGAATTCCCCCAGGAAACCAGAGACCCACAGGAGGATGGAGGGGTGGGATCCAGAAAGTGAGGACCATGAGCTGGGGCAATGCCCAAGGTAGGTCTTTAGAGGGCACAAGAGCCGCACAGTCAAACTTCAGGACTCCTGCAGGGATTCGGGCATTTTCAGACAAGAGCTGAGACCGGCAGCTTTTTGTTCAAAGGCGTTCTGGTGCCACCTAGCTGCCGTGGAGGAGCAGCGACACCTGAGGGCTCTCCCTGCAGCCAGAGCAGGGAATCAGGGCAGGGGGAACCAAGCCAGGAGTCAGCAGGCCAGATTTCAAGTCTGGCTCGGCCCGGGGTTTCTGCTGTGACACTAGACAAATCCCTTCACCAGGTTTCAACTTCAAACTGAGGTTTAGTTTCCCCAAATGCTCAAGGTGGGAGCTGGGCTGTTCTAACATCCTGTGGTTCTGAAAGCTATTTTGGGTAGGCTGGTTCCAGTATAGGAATAACCCCTGGTAAATCAATTTATTGTTAGATTCTCACACGTGCGTGCATAAACACACACACACACACACCCACACACCACACACACACACACACACACACACACACACACGCACGCACAGTGGAAGATCCCATAAGGGAGGGACCTGCCATCTGTTCTCTGCTGTGTTCCCAGTGCTGGGCTCACTGCAGTGCTCAACAAGGTTGTGTTCTTGCTGTTAAAGAAAAATCATAGGGCTCAGCCCGTGTGGTTCAGTGGTTGAGCATTGACCCATGAACCAGGAGATCACAGTTCGATTCCAGTCAAGGTACATGCCCGAGTTGCGGGCTCAATCACCATTGGGGGGCATGCAGCCAATTGATGATTCTCCCTCATCATTGATGTTTCTATCTCTCTCTTCCTCTCCCTTATTCTCTGAAATCAATAAAAATGTTTTTTTAAAAGAAAAATCATAAATGGGGGCTGGTCTCAGTGGAAGCATAAGAAGGCAGGAGGGCAGCACTCGCATCTGGGGAGATAATGGACCCCCAGTCGTTTGGAGGCCCCAGATTGCCTTTTTCAGATCAGAAGATATAAAGGAGTTTAAGTACCTACTTAAGAGAGGCAGGGCAGGGAGCCCCATCTCCAGCAGTCAAAGGGAGCTGGTGCTAGGACGCCTCCTTGCCTGACACAGGCTTGGACTCATTCCAGGTGCTAAACTGTGTAAGGAGTTGGGGAAGAGGAGCTTTAATCTCCTACAATCTCCATCAACATCTCCAACCACCCCCAAAAAGAACAGCTGCTCACCATCTAAATGAAGCACTGAGACAAGTCTCCCGTTCCCCTCCCTGCACAGCACTTCCCCTAGCCCCTCCTGTGCCCACAATTAGATGCCAGTCAGTCTACTAGAAGGGCCAGCTCCACGCAGGTCACACCCGGGGATAGGTAAGCCCAGGCACCTCAGGAACCAAGACCACCTGGACCCAGCAGTATCCTCAGAGCCTGTCCTCAGATCCCACTTCAACAAAGGGAGGGCTAACTGACTGAATTTTGAGGGGAAAAAATTGTTGGGGTTTTGGGGTTTTTTGTTTCTTTGTTTTTTCAGTAGTATGAGCCCTTCTCATCCCAACTAACCTATGTTCCCACAAGATGAGGTGAAAGATATTCCTGATGATGACAAAACTCAGAGAAGAGATAAGCAGAGGAGCTCAAGGTCACTCAATAATTTAGATTTAGAGCTGAGTCTAGAATGACACCCCTCAGTGAGGGCTCTTCAGCCACCTCATCAGCCAGAGATGAACTAGTAATCATTCCCGGGGCTGTGTGGACATTTACAAATGAGAAGATTAACACAAACGGGTAACATTTTAAAATAGGCCACATGGCAAGTGAGTCAGAGATCTGTGTGACTGTGGAGCGCTTCCAGAGCTCCTCAGGTCACCCTCTTTGCAAAGGGCAGCCTGCGGGTGAGGCTGGGGCTATACCAGTAAAAAGTCACCTCTCAGAGTCTCCACCTGCAGAGGCGAAAATGAATTCTGAAGCCCCAACAACTGCTACTTCTGAGCCTCCAATCCTGCCTTTAAAATAACTCACCTCTCCCCACCCCCTCTCACACACACACACACACACACACACACACACACACACACACATATTACATACACATTTGTCCCTTTTACTGGATACAAAAGACAAAAATGTGAACAGAAGCATACATTTGCTTTCCCCATTTATAACAGACTGGTACGTTGGACAGTGAGTTCTTTTTCAAAAAGAGAGCACAAGAACCCTGGGCAGTGGGCCACTTCCAGCAGCTTTTCCACACAAGTGGCCTGCATCGGCTCATGCTGAGGACTTTCCAAAACTTTCCCAATGGTCCATAAACCTCAAACCAGGAGCAGCTGGCCTCAGTGTGCCCTATACCTCTTGCTAAGCAGCCCCAAGCCTAGCATAAGCAGAGACCAGTCTCAATTTGCTGTAACTTGGTGGCACCAAGCCTGGCATGAGCTGCAGCCAGTGTTGTCTTAGAATAGTGATGGTGAACCTTTTGAGCTCGGCGTGTCAGCATTTTGAAAAACCCTAACTTATCTCTGGTGCCTTGTCACATAGAGAAATTTTTTGATATTTGCAACCATAGTAAAACAAAGACTTATATTTTTGATATTGTATATATTTAAATGCCATTTAACAAAGAAAAATCAACCAAAAAAATGAGTTTGCATGTCACCTCTGACACGCGTCTCATAGGTTTGCCATCACTGTCTTAGAACATAGCTTCAACTAAGCAGCCACAAACCAGGCATGCATGGTAGCTGGCCTCAGCTCACAATGTGGTGCCCACCAAAGACCAGCACTAGTGTAAGCCAGCCTTGACTCTCAGCATAGCCTCTCCCAAGTGCCACTAAGCCCAGAACAAGAGATGATGACCTTAGTCTGCACAGGAGCCACTCCCAAGACACTCCAGAACAAAAACACCCAATGGCCAGCTTCCAATCACACCAGGCACCACCCAATCAGCTCCACAAATGACAAACCGAAGTGCAGACTCTGTTGACACCAGAGCCCTGCTAAAGTTAAGTGACTCCAGCTCCATGGGGTCAACCCCCAAATAATAGCTTGTCCAATGTAGTCACATCCAGCCTTCACAGTCAGTCAACCTGATGGTCAATCCCAGCCACTGGCATGCCAACAGCAATCAAAGCTCAACTGCAACAGGAAAGCATACACAACCCACACATGGGACACCCCTGTAACACCTGGCTCAGATGAATAGGCAGACTGCGCCACGGGGCCTCACAGGGCATGCATGGTAGCTGGCCTCAGCTCACAATGTCATTCTACCAAGACTGGGGAACATCGCAGATCTACCTATTACATAGAAACAAACACAGGAAGGCAACCA